TATTTTCAATATATTCGCTCAAGTTTCTCAGTTTTCATATTTCGCCTATATTCAAAATTTGCTCTAGGTGTTTCATAGCTGTTCGCACTCGCACACAGAAGGTCACAGAACGTTTTCAAGCAGCCGTTTGGCGAACTTAATCTAAATCGATTTTCCTAAAATGCACAGGCAATGTTGCACTTAGTTTATAAATTTTAAAACATATATCTGATATATGTATCCTTGATTTACTTTTCACGAATGACTGAGCTTTATAGTCCATATCGAAACCCGCGGAAGGCCTTGTGACGCAGTGCATTTTCTGGGTGATTGATTTGCGACCAGGCCTGCATATGAATTCGCCAAGGTTGTAAGCCAGTGAGCCCGTGTATTTTTGTTAAGCGGTCATATTTGAAAGTGTTAACAAAGAAAAGGGAAAACCCGCAGCTTGCCTTTCACTTAGAAAAACAGTACAAGTTGTGTTAAATTTATTTACATAACTAAAACAAAATGATTATAGAATTAAACCTTTAAGAATTGAATGATCATTACATTTTCCACTTTAAATACACACGCGTTTTTCACAAGGGAATTTAGTCGAGCTTTTTTCACGATGGAATTTTGTTTTGAGTCGTTTCGACATAAACAGTCGCTATCACCATTATTACACGCAAAACCCCTGTCACCGTTCTAGCTCTCATTGTAAGGTAAAAGCTAGTAAATGTGTAACTGACCTTTTGCATAACGTCAACCCGTTGTATTGTCGAGTACGCTTTCGGCTTATTGCCGAAAATGGGACAAAGTATGAACTACGAAAGCTGTTTGTACCAAAATAACTAACTCTATTGGAATACGTGGAGCTAAGCTGCTCTAGCTCTTCCAGTGGATGTTGTAGATACCTCAAAGCTTAGAGGAAACAAGAGCTAAGAAAAAGGATTTGCAATGGCTCCTCCTAAGATACTTTAGACTTGAACGTCGATCGCTTCAACGATCTTCTGCGAAGTCTTTGTGAAGTCGACCATTGCTTCGCATGCAATGGAGAACCCGCGTAGAACACGGACCAATTTTTTTATCAGGGAGGGGAGTCTCGTGTTATTAAAAATAAAATTATTTGTTATTTAATTTTTAAGATAAAATTCTATTTCTATAACGATAAATAGTTGATTGACATTTAGTAGCTATTTTATAAAGATTTTCAATTTCTCTTTGCGTTTAGCTTTGATTGTTCGGATAGAATAAAATGGCAGGCAGCCTACTCCACTCGGTCGAGTTTTGCTGTGCAAATTCCTCCCGTCGGGGGGTTATGTTTACAACATAAGCTTGTCAGCTTTGCGCTGATTGGCTAGTCGCATTTTCTTAAATCACCCAGTTGGGATTGATAAATGGGTAACAAGTGAACAACGATGTCAGTGCTCCAGTTGTCTGKAACGTAGACTCAGTTTTCGAAAAACATTGGGAAACATTGATATTGTAGTTAATCTCACAAGCGAAAAAACAAACAAATATCAACATGCAAGGAAATACAGCAAGAAAARCCTCCAAAAAATGWACAGTTAAACAGGAATTTCCATTTACTAGGCAAATCAAGCAAAAATGAAAACAAACATATTTTTTCTGTGGAAAAATCGAAACTAATTAGTGTTTTTACGATTTTAGCGGTTTGTTTTGATGAAGAAAGGGAGATATATATCCCATGAGACATTGCAAAACCATTCAAAATGGCGGGCTTGTGATATGGACTATGCACGGCGACTCGTATTGATTCCTTTGTGTGTGACTATACTGAGGCAAAATTCGCAAGTYGGCTATTGAAAAAACAAATATTATTTCCATGTCATTTTAATAATAAAAAGATGATATTGCAGCATTGTCTATGGCATTGTAAGCAGTTTATTAAAATCCATTATAAATCGT